AGACCCTGTGAAAAAAGTGAAGAGAAGTTGCACAAAGCTACTTGAGGGGACAGGAGGGTGGCGGATGAGTTTCACACTGGATGGATCTGGGCCGCTATGCCTAAGGTTGTTGGTGTGAACAACATGGAGAACATGAGCTTAGGCTGTTTTATCCCACAGAAGACAACCTTGAGCTGCAGTTGGCTTTTCCTAAAGCCGTGTAACAATACCACGCTGGGCCTCATTGTGAAGAATTTGGCCAAAAGAATTGAAAGCATTATTTGTTCTACATTCAATAACACAGCAATGAAGCATAACCCAGAATGCACATTTAATTCTTCTCAGAAACCTTAAAAACAGATCTGAGAGATATAGCAGTTCATAGAAAGTAGGAAAACAAAAAACAAAAAAACCAGGTTCCCTAAGGAAAAAATTTCCCTTAAAAACAGGGTTAAATATGCCAGGTGTGTAGTGCATACCTGTGATCCTAGCACTCAGGAAGCTGAAGCAGGAGGGTCTATGCAAATTCAAGTTTAGCCTGGGTCTAACTAAGTTGTTAGATTACCTGGGCTGAGCTTGGGCTTCTCATCTTCCTGCTTGACCCTCCCAGCATGCTGGGATTATGGACATGTACCACCAGCCTGGCTCCTGTGTCCCTAACAGGGTGGCCTCCGCCGGGACCGTCTCCAGGGCCCAGTTGGTGTTGGCTGCAGAGCCTGATCACCCCTGGTGAAGCTACAACCCAACTGGCCAAATTGTAGGTCCGAAAGATTGGCCCTTCCCAGGGACAGGGCGGCGTTATAAGCATCAACGGCACAGTTTCCCTCTGCAGTCTCCCAGCCCCAGCACTTGGCAGCGCTGCTTCTAAGCACAAAGACCTCGATGGCCCCAGCGTACAGCTAAGTTACACTCCTGACGTTTGATTTTTTCTTTTCTTTTCTTTTTTCTTTTTTTTTTTTTTGGTGTTTTTGAGACAGGGTCTCAATATGCAGTTCAGGCTGGCCTTGAGCTCACTTTGTAGCCCAGGCTGGGCTCAAACTCACAGTCATCCTCCTGCCTCAGCCTCCTAAGTGCTGGGATTACAAGTGTGCACCACCACGCCTGGCCCCAAAGCTGATTTCTTTTTTTTTCTTTTTAAACATTTTTAATTAATTATTTATTTATTTAGTGTGTGTGTGGCCAGCTCAGCCCACCAGGGGGCGGGGATGGCTGGCATGTGGTGCTGGGGGATTGAACCGCGGTCCCTGTGCTTTGCTAAGCTTGTTCTAAGTAGGTGCTTTAGACCACTGAGCCATCTCACCAGCCCCCCCAAAGCTGATTTCTAGCCTGGTTCTTTCAAACTGGAAATGCATGTTCCTGAGCCTGTGTACAGTCCTGATTGGGTCCCCAGGCCAACACTTGGCCTCCATTTAGAAACATGCAGTCCCTGTGAGAGTGTAGAGCTGTGACTGTGGGCACTACTGCTCTGGGAAAGCGTGCACAGTGGGAAGCAAGTCTCCCCTTCCTGTCCCTGAGCCTGAATCCTCTGCCTCAGCCTCCCAAGTGGTGCGGAGTGCTGGGGAACCTTTCCCTGACCTGCTTTCTTCTGGGCTCCCAATGCTGCTTTGGGGTGTGGTTTGTGAGAATGGCTACAGAAAAGTGACAAATAAAATGCTGCTAAAGGCAGTAAAATACCAAGGGATGGGGTGTGTGTGTGTGTGTGTGTGTGTGTGTGAGAGAGACACGCTGAAGACGGAACCTAGGGCCTCAAATGCACTAGGTCCTGAGCTACATCCCACCCTTTTCTTTTCTTTCCATCTTTCATTGGGATTACAGGTATGTACCACCATACCTGGCTGCCACCCCACTCCTTTCAATTTTATTTTGTGACAAGGTCTCACTTGTCACATATATTGGCCAGCCTGACTTTGGGCCCGTGATTCTTCCTGCCTCAGCCTCCCAAGTTGCTAGGATCACTAGTGTAAACCTAGCCTGAGTACATCTAGAGCTTTCCCCTTTCTTATGTGGTCCCCCTTGGATTTGTTATGGCAGTCTAAATGCATGACTTAATGTCCTCTGAACTAAGGAAAAATTTAAATGTAATTGATTAACATGAATTTAATAATTTTTATAATTTGCAAAGATACTTTTAAATACAATGGTGTAGGGATGTAGCTCAGTGGTACAAGTACCTGTCTGGCAAGTGCAAGGTCCTAAATTCGATTTCTGATACTAATAAATAAATACTAATATATGTGCCAGACTCAGAAGGCTGAGGCAGGAGGATTGCTGTGAGTTGAGACCAGCCTAAACTACATGAGACTCTGTCTTGACAAACAAACAAACATGAGGGGCATGAAAATGGGACATTGGGACACAGAAATAGAACCAAACCTGGGTTTCCCTATGCTTGAGCCTCGGGCTATGGGGATGGGGAACCCCAAAGCCTGGGGTGGGTCTCACACAGACAGGGCTGGTGGCCACAAGGGCCAGAGTAGCATCACAGGCAAGCACTGGGGCAAAGTCCATCCAGAGATGGGTCAGCTCAGGGAACAGGGCAGTGTTCTCAGAGTCTCAAGAGTGCAGAGGGCAGACAGATGGTGCCTGGCTGCAGGACACTGCGACTGTCCCCACCTGCAGTGGACCTGTGGTGAGGCTGGGACTGTCTTCTCCAACCTGAGCCAATTCAGCGTTTGACTGGTCCTTGAGGTTCCAGTTTTCAACATGGTCTCAAAAGATCGTTATAACAGTTTCTAGAAGCAAGGGTGCCCATCTATGCTTGAACTGGGGCAGGC